TGCGTGCGTGCGTGCGTGCGTGCATAGGTACAAATGATGCCAACCTTGCAGAGCAACCTTGACTCGGTCAGGCCCATGGCGATGCTCAACCACGAGCCGGCATCGTTGCATTCCGACTCGAGGGGCCGTAGCTTGGTCGAGGTCTTGAGAGCGAGATCAACCCCCCACGCCGAACAGGGCCAACCTCGCTTGTGGCATGGATCACGGCCATGCGAGAGGGAAAAAGAATAGGACGGAAGAGGGTGATGAGATGTGGGTGGTGGTCCAAACACCGTTATCTTGAAACGTGGAGAGAGAATGCGAAAGCAAACGGGTTTCAGAGCCCTCAAACCGAACACTGAAATCTGCTCCGAGGCTGTTTTACGCAAACGTGGAACGGCTGGAGGAGCTTGGGATCCGGAGGCTTGTTTCTCGTTTTTGGGCTCGTGGTTTTAGGAAGAAGGCCACAAGCGACATCGAGGTCTCCTAAGCTTCAAATTCCAAGCTTTGAAATAAGCCCTTTAGTCCGCAGAACCACCCACGGCCAAGAGGAGTGGCTGGCGGAGGTTGAGGTGGCTGCGAGCTTGGAGGGCCAACCCGTCAAGGCGGTTCTAGGGTTGGGGCTAGAAGCGGTCAGGGTTTAGAGTTAGGGAATGAGGGGTTGGGCGATCCGGGATTTCCGGCTAGGCTTGAGGCTTAGAGTTTTGACTTTACGGGTCTGTCATGTTGCTGCCTGATGAGACAGCGGATGATGTAGCGTAGACATGTAGTGGAGTCTATGAAACTCCATGGGCCCCTCACTAAGTCTACGGGCTTAAAGCTCATGAAACCCGTTCCCTAGATTGCACCACGGTTTTTTTTGATCCGCAACTCCCCCACTCGAGCCTTCTCAGCAGCCTGGAGACTAAAAACTCACGGCGGCCTTTGGCATTTGATGTCATTGTTCGATTGCACATTCCCCTCCTTTCGGAGGGCACTGGGCCGTCTCCCCGGAAGCATTATTCACGGCACCCGATTTCCAGTGCCGTTTAATCCTGGGTTGGTGGCAGGTTCCGGATTTTGGATGTTCTTCGGCCTGGCATCGTCGATGATGCAGAATTGTAACTGCAGTGTGCCTTGAGAGGGTGAGCACCGAACTTGGAGCGCCGACGAGTTTTTTTCTATGTTAAAAATCGTGTTGGAAGCCTTCGTAGAAGGTGAGCAGCAGAATCGGGCGGGTCACGGATTTTTTAAAGTCAGCTGCGCTTGGTGAAGAATTGCGCTTAGGCGGCCTTTTTTGTGACCCTTCACAGTTTTTGGTGCAAGTCAGTGTTGGGAACTGCTTAATATTACTTGCAAGCAGCCCCTTTAGCCCCTTCATACTGTATATTTTTATATAATGCATTGCTGCTGTATTATATACAGTTATATTGCACAGTGCTATATTCGAAATTTAGTTTCTAGCCCACGGAGACCCTCACTCACTGGGGAATTCTGCAGAGGCCATGATCCTTTCGGCCCGGCTCTGAGCGGATTTGGCGCCAGGTTTCGGCTTCGGCTTCATAAAAGGTTTAGGTTTAGGAAGATGAGTGAACTCAAGCAGTGATACTTCCCAGCCTTTTCCAGCTGATCAGCAGAGTCTGGGTTCAAAAAGGAAGATTCATAGGGCGGGGGCGTAGGGTTAGGCTTTAGGGGTCTGGGGTTTTATGCAAGCCGTCACTGCGGAGGATCCGAAGGGTTTTGGGGGTTTAAGAGGTTACACGGAAGAGTTTAGGGAACAGGTGTAGGAAATCTATGAGGCCTTCTACTCTCAGGGGTCAGGGCTACAAAGCTAGTCGAGCCACGGGCTGAGGAGTAGACCGAGGCTTAGTGATAGGAGGTTACAGCAACAGGGCAGGGCCAAGTCGGTGTTTGTTTCAGTGCATATTTTCACATGAGCCTGCCGAACGCTTCACGCGGTCGGGCCTTTAAACCCAAGCGCGGTAAGGTTACTCTTTCGCCCACTTCACCCCTCGCAGTTGGTTGTATGTGTGCAGGCAGCCTGTTGGGGTTTAGGCTCTAAGTACCGGCATCACATGTCACAGATGGTCGCCGACCGAAGAGGTGTCCGACCGCATCCGGCTGAGTGATCTTGCGTTCCCGAGGTGCATTGGCCTTGCAGAATGACGCACGAACCCCACAGCTTTTGTTTCTACTTGTATATTGTTCTACAGCTACATAGTCGAGGATTTCCCAGTCAACTTCCATAGCTGCCCACCCACCAGAGTCCTTCGCAAAGAACCGCAAACCTGGGAGTAGATCCGATTCCACGGCCTGCTACACATCACTCATCGCCTGGTGAATTTCTCAATCTACTTTTTTGTTTGGTGCCGGTTGAAGACTGAGTTCAACACATTAACGAACACCCTTGACAGAGTGAAGGGGGTCCTCGTCCGAACCCGGCTTACTCCGCGAAGTGTCTCCTACCAGGGCAAGATACACATTTAAGCCCGAAGCCGCTCAGGCTGCGGCGATGCCCTTCGTGGACACCACAGCCTTGGAATCGCTGAAGCAGCTGGTCAAAGCCTACAGAAAGCGCGCCTTTTCCGAAGATCGTGGATCCTTTCAGAGTCGGGCTACAAGGAGGTTTAGCCAGGTTGAGGGTGGAGGGTAAACACATTGATCCCGCGACGGGTCGGAAGAGACGTCGAAACATGGGTTGCTTTAGGTCATGAGCTGCCACTGAACCGACTGACCCCTGAACCTTCTCGCCACCCAGCTGAATTGTCCAAGGTTCGCGAGACTACCGGAAGACCAAGTAGTCGAGTACGTAATCCTTATAGGCATCTTGAAGTGGTAAACTGCAGCTTTCTTTTCGGAGGTACGGGGGCTGCACATGTGGGCTCTCTAGCATCTCAGATACGGCTGAACTGGGGCTCCGTCGTGGGAGTAAATCATGTTCCAGGAATCCTCTTGGCCCGGAGTCCTGAAAGCCTTAGACGGGATGTGGAAAGAAGAATAGTCCAAGTGGAGCCCAAACATCAGCACCAAGCACCAAGGAAACATCACTTTTCTGGTGTCCAACGCTTGTGGCCAGCCCCAGAAGATTCTCCAGCGGCTGGTCTTGAAGCTTTGGTAAAGCACAAAGGCCCACAGTATGGGTGATCTTGGACTTGCACGAGCCGACTTTGGCATAGCAAGCGGCACACCGCACAAGGGTCTCATCCACCAAATAATCAAACCTCGGCGCAAGACCTGAACTGCCAAGTGTGAATGGGTCTTGCTCGCATGAGCATTGGCCAAAGAGATTGGAGACTGCAAGAATCGGGCAGTCTCGTAGCTTGGACGATTGGTCCTGATGCGGGACTAGAAGGGGAGGTCTGCAAACATGTGTATAGGCATGGACATCCAGGAACCTGATCCTCTGGTGAACGGATGGAGAAGATGATGCCTGAGTATTCGAGCGCATCTTCAAGCGCGCATACATCCTCTCTTTGCCTGCGCGTGCATACTTTGGTTGCCTCGACGACTTTTTGGTTGGCCTACAGTGGGATGGCACGGGAGCACTTGTCGCCAACCCTAAACCTTAAATGGCGTTGTGCGAGAGCGAGAGTCGAAACCTTAAACGGAAAAAACCCTGACAGGCCAACAGCAACACAGTTTTGGATGGTTTGTAAACAGGTTGGGCTTAAGCCTTCACGGCTCCAGGACTTGTTTTGCGTGGGGAGGGTCGAGGGTGTGACTTATTGTGAGTATTACTACATGAATAGTCTTTTCTGTTGTTACTTATTATGTTTATGATGATGATTACTGTGAACATCCCTGACAACAGTGGTTGTCGAGGCTCGCCCTGGGTGACTCCTTGTGGCTTGGCTCGAACGTGTTGTAAACAAGGGGTCGGAACAAACATGGAAGCTATCAGCTAGTGCAGCTTGTGCTTGTATGAATATACTGCAATATGCAGCAAAATCCTATGCTGATTATCAAGGCCACCATGTAGTAGAATGATGAAAGTGAGCGAATGATGCACTGTCACACTGCACATGGCGATGATGCTAGCGTCGTGTTCACCAGAATCTTGCTGGAAGCAAAGATGACACAATATAATGTGATTGAAGATCTCTTAAGCTTCAAACCTGATCCTAGGTAGATGAGCAGCTACGTACGTGTATGCATATGTTCCGAATCTAAAGGTGTCACTGCCCGTCGGCACAGTTTCACGCGGGTACTTCAGGTGTTTGATGTTTCGGACGTGAGGGTCGTGGACTTGAAGACTGGGTTCAAGCTCGGGAGATGCAGACTGCATCGTTCGTTTTATGCAGGTGCTTGCTCTACCACGCGCGCGCGGGTGTGTGTGTGTGTGTGTGTTGGCATCTCTCCCTGGTCCCACCAAAACCTAACCATCAAACCGCACGCCGACACAAGGGGCTTTGCCACGTGCACCAGGCAGCCCGAACGGACTCCTCGTAGCGTCCAGCCTGTGACATTCTGAAGCGCTCAGACCCGAAGAGTCGCTTACGGCGCCTTGGACCACAGAGGAGTGCGTCCGCTGGTTAGCAGGCTGGGCTTCCAGATTAGGATATTCTGGGAATGCTATTGAATGTTGAGATCTTCAACTATACTGTGAACTGCTTGTGATGGATGTTCTGGCACTTGATCTCGATGTGGGGCTACACCAGAAATCAGGCGTGCAAAGGAGCAATCCCTCATACCGGACTGTAACTCTGAAGAGTCCCCTCACAAAAAAACATCGAAACGAAACGTCTGAGTTTTGGGGCCTTAGAAACATGCAGCAATCCGTGATTTGTGCTTAGACGCGTAATCCCGAGCACCCAAAAGCCCCCAACCCCCTAAACCCCAGACTCGTCAAGCACATGCCGAGCCTCAAGAAGCATGAGAGCTTTAGCCCCAAAGCCAGTGCCACGAAATCCCGACAGGGCAGGCGCAGTTGGCCAAGGACCTCGACATTTCGGGGCTCTGTGGAGTTGGGGTTTAGGAAACCCCTAGAGCTTCATGATTCTAGGTTAGTAGAGCTTGCAAGCTTTAGGTTTTCATCCAAGTCCCCCCATGCCAGATCTTCACCTGACAACAGCAGGCCTGGAAATTCTGAAGCCAGTACTGACCCTCGTAGTCTGAAGCGATGAGAGTATAATGCTGTATGAAGGCTATATGGTACACCCTGCACCCTGCAACCTCAGCCAGGCGAAGTCCTGAAACAAAACCAGATTGCAAACTTCCCGAACACCCATGCCACAACTGCTTAGCCACTCTTCAACTTATAAAACTTGGCTGTTGCTAGCCATCTGGTAGGTCCTCAACATCCACCTGCCCGAGTTGCAATGATTCAAGCAGGGTCTCTCTGCTGCGGATGGCTGTCACCACCTTAATCACGTCTAGTCTATCCCTAATCCCGAAAACTCTTTTCTTTGTCAGTGTTTTGCCAGTGCTCCTCGTCGCCATGCTAAACCGTCAGACCTGGTCTAGACCTTGAGCCCTAAGCCTACACCTATGAGCTGGACAGCTGCGCTTTCCATTCAGGAGGCCGCCTCGGCGCCTGAGAGTCCGCCGCTGCAGAAAGGAGGTGGCGTTTTGGGTCTTGAGGACCCTTAAGGGCTGTGGTCCGAGTTCTGAGACCCTGTAAACCTCGAAAAGGGCTCGAAGCTAAAATCTTACAACAATGATCGTGTGGTTGTGTTTCATCACCTGTCCCTGTTGTTCCGTTTGGAGTTGTTGGTTCTTGTGTTAAGCCGTGCATTTTGTTTTGTGTTTCTGTCCTCCTGTTCTGTCGAGGGTGCAGTTGGAGTCTCAGGAAGTTCGGGAGTAGCATTCGGGTAGTTTACAGTTCGTAGGTTCTGCACACTGACTCGCATGTTTCCATCAGTTTGTTGCTCATGACCTCAAGTCAAGCTTGGTGGTACTTCTTCACATACCAAGTGATCAGTCTCATGGTTCGGAATACATCAAGCTCGTGGACCGACGTCAGCGAGCCAGTCAGGAATAGAAATGCAAAGTGTTGCTGCGGTGTGCCGTCAATCCCTTGTTGGGAATGTACAATGAGATCACGTGAAGACCTCATGTACTCCAGCCATGCAAGCTGGTGGATCAACTGTGCAATCTGCGCGAGCTCATGGGAACTGCGGACATTACATGCGTAGGAACTCCTTGCCATCCACCCCACTGTGTTTAAAGCCCGTATCATCTTGGTGCAGCATGTTTCAACTGGTCCAGATCTCCCGCGGCCTCCCAAGCAGCACAAGCCTGGCAGGGCACCAAGGGGTCTTGGGCGTGGACATGAGATGATGGAGACATGTCAGCATGTACATATATATGCTAGCCCTGCATGACGTCAGTGTACATATGTATATGTATATGTCTATGTGTATATCTATATATCTATATCTGCATATATGCATGTTTATATATGTATATATGTCTATATTTATACATGCATGTACATAATATTTATATATATATATACATGTGTATATATATATATGTCTATATGTATATATGTCTATATGTATATATGTATATATGTACGTATGTGCAAATGTGTATATGTGTATATGTGCATGTATGTGTCTGTGTCGGTGTCTGTGTATGTGTATGTGTCTGTATGCGTGTCTGTATGTGTGTGTGTATGTATGTATGTATGTATGTATGTATGTATGTATGTATGTATGTATGTATGTATGTGTATGGATGTATGGATGGATGCATGGATGGATGGATGGATGGATGGATGTATGTATTAGTATGTACTAGTATATATTAGTAAGTAAGTAAGTAAGTATGTATGTATGTATGTATGTATGTATGTATGTCTCTGTGTGTGTATGTTTGTCGCTCCCTTTTCGGCGAGGTTCCTTCAGAGCCAATAGCTCGAACGCTTCTCTCAAGCAACGGCTCAGCCTCCTTCTCGGTGGTCACCTCAGCTGCTGCTGGGTTGTAGGCAGACGTCGTCAACTTACAAGCAGCTGTCCCTTGCCTGCCCAAACCCAAAGTTCATGAAGAAGGAAATTATTGGAGGTCAATGCAGCTATTCGTTTTCATTTCGAGAGTCACTATTCGTATCGGGGGGTGTTTGGGGCCTTCTCGGGCTTGCGCGGATTAAGCGCAGGCTCTGCCAGGATCCAGAGTTGCTTGTGCTCAAGACGTGCTGCACAACAGCCAGGGTAAGGGGTTGTTTTGTCGTGCGATTCAACAGAATCACCTACTGTATCCTACCTCTTATGCCATGCATACATGACTTTAAACTGCAGCAGGAACAATCGTGGAGCGTCAGTTTGGGCACTAGCACTGCGGGGATCCGAAGCCGTCTGGATGCCCGGGAAAGGAACACGGAACAAGGAACCTGCTATACATTGTCGAGGCAAAGAGCCATCAGAGGACCTGAAAATTCAACTCCTCCCAGCAGGTGCGGGGAAATAGCTTGGGGCGCGCTTAACCCTCTCCCTAAACAACACCGTGGCCATAACGGTTGGGGGTTTAATTCGGATTCAGGGCTTGGGGGGCAAGAGGGTTGCAAAGGATTGTCCTAAGCCCTAAGCCCCCGATCCGAGACCATAAAGCAGGCCCCAAGAGTTTACATTGGACTTAGTCCTCGTCGCGACCTGGGTGAGCATACGTAAAGGAAGCCTGGGATGTGTGACGCACCGCATTATATTGTGAAGGACTGACCGTGTTACGGCTGTCTGGATCCTCACACCAAACTGCAGCTTCCACATCATTGCTGCTGTACACCTGTTTGGATTCCTGTTTTCAGCATGTTGTGCAGGGGCTCAGGGTGTCGGTTTTTTGTCTTCGGATCCGGACTTGGTCGTGCACGGCTTTTATCATGGCAGGCGATGCTGACGCAGAGGAGCCCGTCGATGAGGAGATGCCGGCGACTACCGAGGCAGTTGCATTTCTGAACTTGTCAGGGGAAGTTCGGGTCCTGTTCGGGTCTTCAGTCTTCAGAATTTCTGCTTCTGGAGATCGCATTTTGTGAGTACAGTGTGTGTGGGTGTCTCTGTGTGTGTGTGTGTGCGTGCTTGTGTTGGGCTTTTTTCGTGGCGATTTTTGTTGGTCAAACCTTCAGGTTTCAAATTGGACGGGTAGGTTGGGCTTGCAAGCTGTGTAACTTGCAGTTTTTTGAGTTCACGTTGGCAGTCCAAGATTCTACCGCATCCATGCATGTCCAGCATGGGCATATCTGAATTTGGAAACCAACCTCCGACCGACACGCCGACCCAGCGACCGACCGGCTCAACCGACCAACCGACCAGTAACTACCTGACTGTAACTATTCGCCTGACTACCAATCAATCCGCTGATCTATCTATGTATCTGTCGATCTTTGTACCTCATCTGTCTATCTGATCTGTCTGTCTCTCTCTCTCTCTCTTTCTATTTGTCTCTCCAGCCGTCTAGCTGTCTTCCTGTCTCTTTACCTACCTACTCGTACCTAGCCAGCTAGCTACGTGCATACATTCACAGGTTCGAATGAGCATTTACCTGTACATATACGAACAGAATCAAACACACAGGTTTACATGGTCTCAGACTGATATACATGCGCATCGTGTGGTAGCCGTAGGTTGTAGTTGTTTGGATCGAATCTAGGGCTTGAGGCTTTCAGCATTTTGTGTCGAGATCTGAATCTGCAACGTTGATCTTCCTTCGTCGCTGCGGCATCTGTGTCAGCGCAGCGGTTTTGGTCCTACCTTCTTCAGATGTCAATCTAAATTACATTTGTTTGTTTGTGTCGATTCGGAATTTCGGGATGGATACCCTAAGCCTGGTAGGGTGTCCAAATGCAGGTCCTCCCGCTGCGCCGATCTGTTGGGACCTCGGATGGAACTGCAAGCCTTTGTGGTTATGATTTTGTCCGTCCTTTGTCGTCGGTGTGACTTACTCGTAATGGTTGCACCCTCGGCAGCAGACTATCGTGATTTAGTGCTTTCAGTTCGGAAAACTCGAGTCAACAAGTCGGTGATGTGTGCTGGCCTGAGTCCATTAATTCAAGATCAAATCCAGAAATGGCTGAGTGTCCGTCTTAGCAGCTCCGAGCAGCGCAGCATAGTAGTGATTTCAATTTTTTTGACTCATTGACTGTGCGTAGGAAGTTGACACTGGCTCAGGTCCAACTCATTGCATCATGAGTGTCCATTTCCAGATGTCTGCGCGCGAGGATCTTCTCTCTTCTTCTGCACCCTCCATACGCAACTGCGAAGTACACGGCCTTTTTTGCAGACAGAGCACTCTCGTCCAAGAGTCTTTAAACAACGAGTCGAGCCTGCGACCTTTAGGAGCTTGCAAGGTTCGAAGCCCTGGCAGCGTATCTTTATGATTGCTAGTGGCATCATGTTTTATCATCGTTGTTGGTTATCTTGCAGCCAGCTTTCCACCCGACGGGTCTAGTAGCTGTCGTAACGTGTTCACTGTTAGGTCGTTTGGGCATCGATGCCCCATGACCTGAACGAGCTTGCGGAGACACAGCTGCAGCACGGCCAGAAACGCTACTCAGCGAAATATGTGTATGTGTATATATATATATGTATATATATATATATGTATATATATATATCGGTATTTCTTGGAACAACGCAGTACAACCAATGACTTCAGCATCTGAGCGATCTTGAACCGCTGGGCGTTCTTTGCCACAGGCTTCCCCGAAGCCCGAAACCAATCGAAGAGCGAGCTGCGACAAACGAACGGATGCCGTGAATCCTTGGCCGGCTGCATTCCGATGATGATGATGAAGTGATGCTGAAGAAAAGAAAAGCAGATCATCACCCTTACCGCCAGCATTGGCGTTTTGCTCAATTTCATCATCATTGGTACCCCCCAGTCAGGAAAAGCAAGGTTTAGATCTTGAGTGGGCATCAACCTCCAGGCTGCAACTTCGAAGATCCAAGCCGCAGTGACCAACAACTACACGAAGCGAACACGATGCGAATTTCCAGCATGGGCAATTTTCTTTCAGATGGATGCAGGTAGGTGAAGGAGTAG